GGCTGCAAAAGCAGGTCAGAGACGAGGAATACTGCAGCAAATAACTCACCTCCTGACTCCCCAAAACCTCTCCACCATCTACAAGGCACAAGTCAGGAGTGTGATGGAATACTCCCCACTTGCCTGGATGGGTGCAGCCCCAACGACACTAAAGAAGCTTGATACCATACAGGACAAAGCAACCCGCTCGATTGGCACCACATCCACAAAAATCCACTTCCTCCACCATCAATGCCCAGTAACAGCAATATATACCATCTACAAGATACACTGTAGAAATTCACCAAAGGTCCTGACAGTACGCCTTCCATACCCATGATCTCTTCCATCTAGAACAACAAAGGCAGCAGATATATGGGAGTACCAACCCCTGCACGTTCCCCTCCAAGCCATTCACCATCCTGACTTGGAAATATATTGCCTTTCCTTCAGTGTCACTGGGTCAAAGTCCTGGAATTCCCTCCCTAAGGCACATTGTGAGTCTACCTAATGCAGGTGGACTGCAGCGGTTCAAGAAGGCAGCTCACCACCACCTTCTCAAGGGGCAGCTAGTGATGGGCAATAGATGCTGGGCCCAACCAGTGATGCCCACATTCCCTGAAGGATTTCATTTCAAATCTCTTTGAAATCTCTTTGGAATGAGAGCCAACATGTTATTTGTCATCCTGTTTGCTGCACCCACTTGCCAACTTTTAGTGTCGCATGGACAAGGAGCCCCAGATCTCTATGAACACCTGCATTTTACAACCCAGTTCAGAAATATTCTGCCTTGGCTTTCTTAGACCAAAGCGAATAACATCATGCTTATTCACATGATATTCCATCTGCCATATTTCAGCCATTCACCTCTCCTACCCAAGTCCTCTTCAAGCCTCCTTGAGCCCTTCTCAAAACTTCCATTCTTACCCAATTTGATGTGAGCAGCATATTTGGAAATATTACAATTGCTCTCCATATGTTTTGATAGATAGTGAGTTGTTGTGGACCAAGCACTGAGCCTTATAGTGCCTCAGCAGTAACAGCCTGCCGTCCTGAGAATGGTCTACTTAAGATGTTGGAGCAGAAGTAGGCTATTCAACCCACCGAGTCTGCCTTGCCATTCAAAAAGATCACGGCTGATCTGATAACCCATAACTCCACTTTTCTGCCTTTTCCTTATAACCCTTCATTCCCTTCCTGATTATTTTTCTATCTCAGCCTTGAATATATTTAACGATCCAGCCTCGACAGCCGTCTACAGTGACAAATTCCACAGATTCTGAGAGAAGAAATTCATCTTCATCTCTGTCTTAACTGTGCACTGCTTATTTATTCATAGTCTCTGCTTTCTGTTTGCAAATCAATCATTAATCTACACTCATATTTCTCCCAATTCCTTGTGCTCTCATTTTTTTCTAACATCCTTGTGGGACCTTCTCAAAATCCTTTTGAAAATCCAAATATATCACATCCATCGGTTCTCATTTGGTGATGCTACAAGCAACACCCTGAAAAAATGCCATAAAGTTTGTCAGATCTGTTTTCCCTTTCATAAAACCACATAAATCTGCCCAAATCTATCTAGTACATTCTAAATGGTCAGTTACTACATCCTGTATAATAGATTCTCATACTTTTCCAATCCAACTGGTCTGTAGTTCTCCACTTCTCCTTGATTTCCTTTCTTAAATAATGGGGTTACAATCTCTTCACCTACACCAGTCCCTTGGTACCTGGGAGATTTTATGTATCTTCAGGATGTTTCTGGGAATGGAGGGTTTGAGTTATAAGGAGAGGCTAGATAGGCTGGGACTCTTTTCACTGGAGCGTAAGAGGTTGAGGGGTGACCTTGTAGAGGTTTATAAAATCATGAAGGGTATAGATAAGGCGAATGGCAAATGTCTTTTCCCTAGGGTTAGGGATTTCAAGACTAGGGGGCGTGGGAGGAGAAAGATTTAAAAAGGACATGAGGGGCGACTATTTTACACAGAGAGTGGTTCATGTGTGGAATGAGCTTCCAGAGGAAGTGGTGGATGTGGGTACAGTTACAATGTTTAAAGGACATTTGGATAAGTACATGAATAAGAAATGTTCGGAAGGATATGGGCCAAGCTTAGGCAAGTGGGACTAGTTTAGTTTGGGATTATGGTTGGCATGGACTGGTTGGACTGAAGGGTCTGTTTCCATGCTGCGTGACTCTACGACTCTATAAGACAGATCCAAAGTAACTGTTTTGTTTTCCACCGTTCACCTGCTCTCCAATATAAATTCCCAATTGTAATGGGCCCACACTTATCCTTGTCAATCATTTCTCTTTTACATATTGATAGAAGCTTTTCCAGTCTGTTTTTATGATCCTTGTCAGTTTGCACTCTATCTTTTTCCCCTTTGTTATTCATGTCTTCTTTCATTGGGACCAAAATTGCTTTCAATACTCAGGCTTACCAGTATTTCTGGCAATCTTATAAGCCACTTCCTTAAGCAGTTCTGAGTACCCCACATTAGAAAGAAAATATTGGCCATGGAAGGAGTGCAGTGCATTTTTCTAAAGTGGTAACTGCATGCCAAGGATTAACTTACGAGTGGACATGTTACTGGAGTTTTGGTGCTGGGAATTCGGAAGGTTAAGAGGTTCTTCATGTTTCTTAAAGTTTTCAAGATGCATAGGGTAGAATGGGAGAAACGATTTCCATTGGTTTGGGAGTCTAAGACTAAGGGCAAAGTCAAAACATTGGAACGAAATCTTTCAGGATTCAAATTGGGAAATACCTTTTCTTATCGAGGATAATAACATTTTGGAACTCTGCAACTGATACAGTCATATTTTTGTTTGCTAATGGGACAGAGGGATATGGGGCATTTACAGGGGAATGGAGTTAATTTGCACATCATCCTAGCTCTCATTGAATGGATAGGTTATCCATGGAAACATTTACAACCCAGAAGCAGGCTATTTAATCCATTGAAATCATGCTAGCTCTGCACAGAGCAATCCAGTCAGTCCCACTTCTCTGCTCCATCTCTTTAACATCCATTGGCTCAATTACACAAGTCCCTTGGTCACCCTTCTGTGAAGACAGATACAAAGTAACTGCACAGCTTCCCCTGCTCTCCATTATAAATTCTCCTGTTCTCAATTGCGATTGAGGAACTTGTCCTTGCCAATTGTTTTCCTTTCACATATTCAGGAGAAGCTTTTACAGTCTGCTTTTATGATCCCTGTCCGTTCACACTCACGTTCTTTCTTCCCTTTGAACTCGGCAACTTTATTTCTTTCAAGTGTCCATTCAATTTCCTTTAGAAATCATTGGTTGTTTCCAGTTCCATCACCCTCATGTGCACTGAATTCCAGGTCACTCCCCTGTTTGAAACCTTAAACTTGTATCCTCTGGTCCTTGTACAGTCATCTTTTCCTTTTCCACCTTACCTAAGTCTGTTCTGATCCTGTACCCTTCAATACCACCTCCCCACTTAGCCTCCTTTCATCCAAGGAGAACAAATTCAGACGTTTCAACTTGGAGCTAGAACACCCCTTCCTCAAACTATTCTGGTAAATCCTCTATATTCCCTCAGGGTCATTTATATCTTTTCTAATATTTGGGGGGCAGACCATACTATCCCTTGCCTCACCCACACACAGTGTCAGAGTGTTTCCCTATTTATTAGCGACAGTTACTTTAATCCACCCACTGAGGTATAGAATGACACACCTCCGTGGCTGAGGTCAGACTTGAACCTGGGTATCCTGGCCAGAGGTTGGGACTACAACCACCAGTGTTCTCCCTCAGTTTTGTGTGCTCAAAGGCAATTAAAATCCACCACCTGTTTCTCTCACCAAAAATAGTAAGAAGCCTCAAAATCATTTGATGTTGACTGGTGTCAAACTCTGCCAGTTGTGCCAGGTTGAGATGCCATGCAAGCCTCCTGAGATTGGAGATGAGATTCCAACTCGATGCTGCACTGTGGCAGTTTGGCCTAGGCCAAAGATTCTGTATCATGGGAGATATAGAGGCGAGTGTTTGATATTTAGGCAATGAATGGTTTGAACTTGGAGTGCCCTGTACTCTTTTAAAATGAAAGACAATGCCCTCCACTCTGTAAAATTAAAAATAAAGCTCCCTCTACACTGTCACCCCCATCAAACACTCCTGGAACAGGGAGAGCACAGGGTTAAATCCAAAGTAAACGTCCCTGTACACTGTCCCCCCATCAAACACTCCTAAAGTATGGACAGCACAGGGTTAAATACAGAGTAAAGCTCCCTCTGCACTGTTTCTATTAAACATTCCCAAGAGAGGGACTGCACAGGGTTAGATACAGAGTAAAGCTCCAACTGAACTGTCCCCCATCAAACACTCCCAGGACAAGGACAGCACGGGGTTAGATAGGAGCAAAGCTCTCTCTACACTGTCCCCATCAAACAGTCCCGGGATATGGACAGCACAGGGTTAGATATAGGTAAAACTTCCTTTACACTGTCCCCCACCAAACACTCTTAGGACAAGTTGAACACAGAGTTAGATACTGAGTAAGGTTCTTTCTACACTGTCCCCATCAAACACTCCCAGAGCAGGGACAGCACAGGGTTAGATACAGAGTAAAGCTCCCTGTACACTCTCCCACATCAAACACTCCCAGGACAGGGACAACACAGGGTTAGATACAGAATAAAATTCCCTCTACAATGTCCCCCATCAAATACTCCCAGGACAAATTCAGCATGGAGTTTGATACTGAATAAAGCTCTCTCTACACTATGCCCCATCAAACACTGCCAGAACATAGGGTTAGATCCAGAGTAAAGATCTCTCTACACTGTTCCCCCATCAAACACTCCCAGAGCAGGGACAGCACGGAGTTAGATACAGAGGACCTGTGTACTGGGGCTAAGGTTGCTGCACCAAAGATGGAAATGTTTTTTAACCAGAGGAGCAGGTTTCTCCAGTGGAGATGTAATGCTGTGTGCCAGAGGAGAGGATAGCTGTGTGACATGAAGCTGAACTTTGTGTTTTTTCTTGTAGGCCGATGGGAACAAGCTGCATAAGGACCTGAAAGCCTATCTGAATGCTGTGAAAGGTATGGAGCGTTCATTAGCTCTCTCACAGCTCTCTCTATTCCTGTGCAATCATGTAATCCTCCCTGTCCCTGGAAATTACTCTTCCCCACCATCTTACAAGCCTTACATTGGCACATTCTCTTTTCATACTTCAGGCTATCCATTGATTAATGGATACTGCTCTCTGTGTCCCTGTCTGTGTTTCTCCAGCATTAGGCTCTGCTGTGATGCCCCACAGAGTCAAATACCTTGCTGAACAGACTCCATAGTCTCTGTCTTGGTGTACACAAAAATGCCTATTCCTTGGCTGTTGATGGATGCCAGGCACTGGTGACACTGTACCCTCTTGTGTAAAAGGTGTAGACAGACCCAAAACACTTGAAACCCCTGCCCATAAAAATGGCAGCCTCAATACATTGCTTGGACGCAACCGATATTGACAGTAGGGATCTCAATACTTGGGTTTCAGACGTGTGCGAACTGATAATTTCCATATGTGAGCCCAGATTTTGGATACCCACCAAATATTGGACTGGGGCAGTGTGGGGGTTGGAGGGGGAGCTTCACAGCTAAATCAAATTGTTTCTTCCACTCAGAATCTACATCTGTCTCCCAACAGGAGTCGTTGGATGGGAATTGGGCCTGTGCTTCCCTGCTTCCCTCCTTTTCTCTCTATTAAGGCCAATGGTTGTCCCAACAGTCATCATAGCTCCCAGTACTTAAGAATCTGTACCTAGGTACTTCTATACCAAAATGGTAATGTACGTAGTGACTTATAGACTACTCACTGTACTCACCTGAGTATGTGTGACAATGAAGCTAATTCTAATTCTAGTTCTAACTTGAATTTGAATTTGAATTTGAATTCTTTATCTGCAGTCCACTCAGGATTGACCCTGGCTCCTTGCCATTCAATTTTCTGTCCCAGTCCCTCAGGAGAGATTGAATTGGTTAGAAAGCTTCACAAAGGCTACTTGAAAGTCTGCCTCACAGTCAAGAAGCTTGACACCAACGAGGATAAGGCAGCCGGCTTGATTGACACCACATCCACAACTATCTACTCCCTCCACTACCGTTGCTCAGTAGCAGCAAGACCTGGACAATATCTAGGTTTGGGCTGACAAGTGGCAGGTAACATTTGTGTCACACATATGCCAGACAATGACCATCTCCAATAAGAGACAATCTAACTACTGCCCCTTGATATTCAACACTCCCCACTTGCCTGGATGAGTGCAGCTCCAACAACACTGAAGAAGCTTGACACCGTCCAGGACAAAGCAGCCCACTCGATTGGTACCACATCCTCAAACATCCACTCCCTCCACCACTGACGCTCAGTAGCAGCAGTGTGTACCATCGACAAGATGCACTGCAGAAATTCACCAAAGATCTTCAGACAGCACCTCTCAAACCCACGACCACTTCCATCTAGAAGGACAAGGGCAGCAGATGGTAAGTTCCCCTCCAAGCCTGACTTGAAAATACATCGCCGTTCCTTCACTGTCATTGGGTCAACATCCTGGAATTCCTTCCCTGAGGGCATTGTGGGTCTACGTACAACACATGGACTGCAGCAGTTCAAGAAGGCAGCTCACCACCATCTTCTCAAGGGGCAACTAGGGATGGGCAAGAAATGCTGGGCCCAGCCTGTATCAGAATGAAAGAATTGTGTTGGGTTTAACCCTGCACTGCAATGGAAGTGCACAGCCAGAGGAGTGCCATTACCATCTTCAGGCCTGGCATCCCCCCTCCCCAAGCTCTCTTTTTCCTTTCACAGCATTTCCTGGTGCGGCCAGAACTGAGCAGCCTCTGATTCTCCCTTTTCCCAGCAATGCACGACACGTCGAAGAGACTCTGTCTAACCCTGCGGGAGATTTATGAGTCCGACTGGGATGGCAAGGACGAACTGCTCCCCATCGTAGAGGTGAGTGACATCTCCCGTGTCGGCCTACACTCTCTGTTTCAAGATTCACCCGGATGTTGCTTGGGTTGGAGTCATTGGGTGATGAAAAGAGACTCGATTGGCTGGGGTTGTTCTCCTGAGAGCAGAGAAGGCTGAGGGGACAACCTGGTTGAGGGGTACAAAGTTCTGAGGGGAATAGACAGGGTAGACAGAGAGAAACCTTTCCCCTTAGTGGAAGGGTTGATATCCAGGGGCACAGTTTTAAGGTAAGGAGCAGGAGGTTGAGAGGGGGATTTGAGGCAACAGTTTTTCACCCAGAGGGTGGTAGGAATCTGGAGTTCACGACTGGAAAGGGTGGTACAGGCAGAAACCCTCAAGACATTTAAAAACAATTTAGATGAGCATTTGAAATTCTATAGCAAACAAAGCCACAGACAAAGTGTTGGAAAATGGGATTAGAATAGATGGATTTTTGATGACTGGCATGGGCACAATGGGCTGAAGGGCCTCTGTCTGTGTTGTCAGGCGCCCTATGAGTCTGCCCAGTGATTCATTTCAAAATAGGTCGAGAGTATAGAGTGATAGTTCACAAACCCTGAGCTGGAGGGAAGGAGCTCTAGCACCCTGATTTGCTCTGAGATCATTCGGTCTGACGCTGTGCTGACACGCGCTTTTCCAAGACCAAGAGAAATGAAGCCCCTCGTTTTATGCTGATTTCCCTTCCCCAGATCTTAGACTCTGTCCAAGAGCCAGGTATTTGCCGCAACTCTCAATCTATCTTTTCTCATCCTCCACCTGTGACCTGGGTTTTGCCCTTGGATGTTGAGCTTTAATTCCTGAGAATTCCAGGACGATGCGGGAGTAGGTTGTCAGCTCTACCAGAATGGCAGGTTGTCATGGTGACCGAACTTGTCAGTAAGCAGAGGCGAGAGACAGAAGCGACATGGAGCGATGAGCCCTTTCACTAGTGGTTTCCCTGAGCTCCAGGTGGAAAAGCGAGGGAGGGAAATTTGGCCTACATGTGACTCCAGACCCATAGCAACATGGTTGCCTCTGAGCAATTGGGCATGGGCAAAACTGCAGGCCAAGACCGGATCGTGTGAATGAGTAAAGAAAAGAGAAATTATTGCTGCTTTTGACAGATTGACTGTTAGACTAGCAGCAATTTGACCAATCGGAGATGTTCTATCCCTGAGCAGCAACAGCAAGGGTGAAGTCTGGCTCTTTAAGTTGCTTCAGGCCTTTAAATTCTGTCGGCAGAACACTTCCAATTGAGTTTCTGGGATTGAGCTACATGTTGTTCTGAAGAGGCTAACTGTGGTAATTTATGGTGGAGTCAGAATTGTTACATGCACGGGAGCAGGACCAAAAAAATAGCAACAAAGACTCATGGAGTTGTACAGCACGGAAACAGACCCTTCGGTCCAACTTGTCCATGCTGACCAGATATCCTAAACTGATCTAGTCCCATTTGCCAGTATTTGGCTCATATCCCTCTAACCCCTTCCTATTCGTGTACCCATCCAGATGCCTTTTAAATGTTGTGATTGTACCACCCTCCACCAGATGGTGGGGGTAATGGGGTGGCGATGGCCTAGTGGTATTATTGCTAGACTATTAATCTAGAGACCCAGATAATGTTCTGGGGACCCAGGTTTGAATCCCACCACGGCAGATAGTGGAATTTGAATTCAATAAATATCTGGAATTAAGAATCTAATGATGACCGTGAGTCAATTGTCATAAAAATCCATCTGGTTCACTAACATCCTTCAGGGAAGGAAACTGCTATCCTTACCTGGTCTGGCCTATATGTGACTCCAGACCCACAGCGATGTGGTTGACTCTTAACTGCCCTCTGGGCAATTAGGGATGGGCAATAAATGCTGCCTAGCCAGCATTGCCCTCATCCCATGAATGAATAAAAACAAACTTCCTCTGGCAGCTCATTCCATACATGCACCACCCTCTGCGTGAAAAAGTGCCCCTCAGGTCCCTTTTAAATCTTTCCCCTCTCACATTTAACCTATGCCCCTCTAGTTTTGGACTCCCCTACCCTGGGGAAAAGACCTTGGCTTTTCACCCTATCCATGCTAGTCATGATTTTATAAACCTCTATAAGGTCACCCCTCAGCCTCCGATGCTCCAGGGAAAATAGCCCCAGCCTATTCAGCATCTCCCTATAGCTCAAACCCTCCAATCCCAGCAACATCCTTGTAAAACTTTTCTGAACCCTTTCGAGTTTAACAACATCTTTCATATAGCAGGGAGACCAGAATTGAGCATAGTATTCTAAAAGTGGCCTCACCAATGTCCTGTACAGCAGCAACATGATGTCTCGACTCCTGTATTCAATACACTGACCAATGAACATCTTTGAGCTTCAAGCAAGCTTTGATAATGAATCACAAACATATACCGAGACCAACAAAGCAAGGGACAGACAGGCAGCATCTGTTGTGACAACTGTAGATTTTATGAGACTTTTGTAATTTCAGAATAATGACCTGCTGTGGGCTGACTATGAAGAGAAGCTTTCGGATCAGGCCATGAGGACATTGGAGACATACCTCAGCCAGTTCCCAGCATTTAAGGTGAGTCACAAGTTGGGACAGAAATATGTTCCCATTCACATTGTTTCGAAAAAGCTGAACAGTCAAAAAGGGTTGTGTCCTAGGGCTGAGATCTTCACCTACAAATACCGTGAAAGCATTAAGAAACAGCTGTCATAGAGAACAAAAAAAAAATTTCTGTCCTTATCAAGAGTAACTGACCATGGGAGTTCATAAGACTATAAGATGTAGGAGCAGAAGTAGGCCGTTCAGCCCATCAAGTCTGCTACACCATTCAATGAAGTTATGGCTGATCTGATCATCCTTAACTCCACTTTCCTACCTTTTCCTGATTACCTTCCTGATTAAAAATCTCTCTATCTCAGCCTCAAATATACTGAATGACCCAGCCTCGACAGCCCTCTGCAGTAAAGAATTCCACAGATTCACTCCACTTTGAGGGAAGAAATTCCTCCTCATCTCTGTCTTAAATGGGCGACCCCTTATTCTGAAATTAAACCCTCTGGCCCTAGACTCTCCCACAAGGGGAAACAACCTCTCCACATCTACACTGTCAACTCCCCTAAGAACCTTGTACGTTTCAGTAAGGTCATGTCTATTCTTTTAAACCCCAATGAGTACAGTCCCAACCTACTCAACGTCTCCTCATAAGACAGTCCCTCCACATCCGGGATCAGCCGAGTGAACCTTCTCTGGACTGCCTCCAATGTCATTTTGTTTTTCCTCAGATAAGGGGCCCATAAACTGTTCACAGTGTTCCAACTGTGGTCTGACTAGTGCCTTGTATAGTTTTAGCAAAATGTCCCTACTTCTATTCTCCATTCTGTTTGAAATTAAGGCCAACATTCCGTTTGCCTTCGTTATGACCCGCTGAACTTGGATGTTAGGTTTTGTGATTCATGAATGAGGATTCCCAAATTCCTCTGTTCTGCAGCTTTCTGCAGTTTTTCTCCATTTAAATAATACTCAGCTCCTCTATTCTTCCAGCCAAAGTGCATAACTTCGTATTTTCCCCTTTCATCTGCAAAGTTTTTGCCCACTCACATAACCTGTCCCCAGAAGCAGGGATCACAGTCTAAGGCCATTTGGGACTGAGATGGGGAGAAATGTCTTCACCCAGAGAGTAGGGAGCCTGTGGAATTGTCTACCACAGAAGACGGTTGAGGCCAAAACTTTGAATGTTTTCAACAAGGAGTTAGATATTGTTCTTCAGGCTAAAGGGACCACAGAATGTGGGGGAGAAAGCAGGAACAGGGGGACTGAGTTGGATGATCAGTCATGATCATATTGAATGACAGAACAGGCTTGAAGGACCGAATGGCCTACTCCTGCTGCTATTTTCTGTGTTTCTGCATTTCTATGTCTACATCCCTCTGCAGATTCAGTGTATCATCATCACCACTTGCCTTCCCACTTATTTTTGAGTCATCCACAAGCGTGGTTATAGTACATTCACTTTCCTCATCCAAGTCATTAATTGATATTGTAAATAATTGTGTCCCCAGCACCGAGCCCTGTGGCACTCCACTAGTTACAGGTTGCCAGCCCGAAAATGCCACCCTTGTCCCAACTCCCTGTCTCCTATTAGTTCGCCAATCCTCTATCCATGCCAGTATATTGTCCCCAACACCACGGACTCTGATCTTATTCAGTAACCTTATCAAACATCTTCTGGAAATCTAAATCTATTACACCTGCTGCCCCCCTCTTTACCTCTCCTACTTGTTACGTCCTCAAAGAATTCTAATAAATTTCCCCCTCATGAAGCCATGCTCTGCTTTGATTATGTAATATATTTCTAAATTATCTGACCTTGCATCTTTTATTGTAGTCTCTAACATTTCCCAATAACAGACATTAAGCTAACTGAACTATAGTTTTTGTTGTCACCTTCCCTTTTTAAGTTAAGATTACATTGGCAGTTTTCCAAATCTCTGACACTTTTCTAGAATCTAAGAATTCATGGCAGATAACGACCAGTGCACTCACTGTCTCTGTAGCTACTGCCTTTAGTATCCTAGGATGTGTCCCATCAGGTCCATGGGAATTATCTGTCTTTAGCCCCATTAGTTATAGAGTCATAGAGATGTACAGCACGGAAACAGACCCTTTTGTCCAACTCATCCATGTCGACTAGATATCTGAAATTAATCTAGTCCTATTTGCCAGCATTTGGCCCATATCCCTCTAAACCCTTCCTATTTGTGTACTCATCCAGATGCCTTTTAAATGTTGCCATTGTACTTGCCTCTACCACTTCCTCTGGCAACTCATTCCACTCACGCTCCACCCTCTGTGTGAAAAAGATGCTTCTCAGGTCTGTTTTAAATCTTTCCCCTCTCACCTTAAACCAATGCCCTTTCGTTTTGGACTCCCCTACTCTGGCAAAAAGACCCTAGTCATTCACCTTATCTATGCCCCTCATGATTTTATAAACCTCTAAGAGGTCAACCCTCAGCCTCCTGTGCTCTAGTGAAAATTGTCCCAGTCTTTCCAGTCTATTTTTATATCTCAAACCCTTCATTTCAGGCAAATCCTAGTTAATCTTCTCTGAGCCCGCTCCAGTTTAATTAATCCTCTGGAAAACTTCAAAGAGTCCCCCCTCTCTCTGACCGAAGAAACTCCTCCTTGTCTCATTGCAAAACGGCCAGCCCCTTGTCCCGCGTCCCCTGATTCTTGATCCTCCAGCCAAGGGGTAACTTCCCTCCTGCTTCTTCCCTGTCGAGCTCCTGTCGGAAATTTGCAAGCTTCAATGAGATCGCCTCTCATTTTTCTGAATGCTGGAGAATACCGGCCCAGTCTCCTCAATCTCACCGTGTGCAATAATCCCACCATTCCAGGAATCACTGGTGAACCACTGCCACACTCCCTTCATGGAAAATGTGTCCTTCCTTCAGTCAGGACTGCCCACGATACTCCAGCTCGGTCAAGTCTCACCAAGACCTTGTACCATTGCAGCAACATATCTTTGCTCAAATCTTCTTGAAATAAAGGCCAATAGATTGTCTTCCTTCCTACTTACTTGCTACCCTTGCCTGCTCCATTTCAGTGTCTTGTGAACAAAGACATCCAAGTACATTTGCAAACAAATACTGTGCAATCTCTCCATGTTTAAGAAATGCTCTGCACCTTTGTTGCTCCCTCCAAAGTGGATATCCTCATGCTTATCTTCATTATTTTACAGTCGCCATGTTCTTGCCCACTCCCCCAGCCTGAGGGCGACACAGTGGCTCGGGGGTTAGCACTGCTGCCTCACGGCGCCAGGGACCCAGGTTCGATTCCTTCCTCGGGTGACTGTCTGTGTGGGAGTTTGCACATTCTCCCTGTGCCTGTGGGGTTTCCTCTGGGTGCTCTGGTTTCCTCCCACAGTCCAAAGATGTGCAGGCTAGGGTGGATTGGCTGTGCTAAAATGTCTATGGTGTCCCTAGATGTGCAGGCTAGGTGGATTAGCCATGAGAAATATGAGGTTACAGGGATTGGGTAGGTACAGAGTGAAGATGGTATAGTCTGCCATCTGCTACCACATGGCAGTGCAACTGACATTACTATTTGGCACAGTGGTCACTATAGGAACAGTGAATTCATAGCTATTAGGAGGCAGCAAGCTCACAGTTGAGGGTAAGGTGGGTAGCAGTTTATAATTGCGGCCCATCAGATTAAACCTGCTATATGTCCACTAATTAAGACCTTCCTTAAAACCTGCCCCCTTGTCAGTGCTGTGATAGTTTGCTGTAATATCTCCTTATCTGACTCAGCATCAAATTTTGTTTGCTCGTGATGCAGCTTGGGGATGTTTATCCTGTGAGGGACGATATATAAATGCAATTGTTATAATGCAGTAGTTCCTCGAGAAATAAGTGTATCTGTCAAGGTCAATGCATGAGATCCAACTGTGGTGCGTCCCAAGGATGTTAGTATGGAGACAAAGTGAATATTGAACCTGAATTCATTCTTGACCCAATAGAAGCGCATTGCGAAACGAGGGCGTAAACTGGTGGATTATGACAGCTGCCGACACCACCTCGAATCTCTGCAAAGTGCCAAGAAGAAAGATGAAACAAAGATCACAAAGGTAACTCAGCAACAGTTTAATCTCAGTGGTCAGTTTTGTCCCTTACGTCTTGTCAGATCCTGCCACCCCATTGCCAGGACTTGTAACTGATGAGATTTCTAGACAACAGCAAGCATAATGGATGACCTGAGCACTGTTGAGAGTATTGCTGGAAAAAGGGACACATCATCCATGTTTCTCGCCTTGTTGTCATCAGGACAGAATCACAAGAATGCTAAACCTCAAAGGAAACAACTATTTATACTGCATGAGAAGAGGGCACTGATTGGTTGCCAAATAGACTGTTATTGGTAGAAGCATTGCCATGGAGAATACACCCAGGAGCAGTTAACTTTCAAGTTTTTGTTTAAATTCAACTCAATCAAGTTGACTCTGATTTGAACTTAAATCTACAAGGTGCATTGCAGCAACTCATTATAGATCTGACAACAGTGCCTTCCAAATCCTTTACAAATACCATCTAGAAGGACAAGGGCAGCAGATGCATGGGAACACCATCCCCTCTGCAAGTTCCCCTCCAAGCCACTCACCATTCTGACTTGGAAATATATCGTCGTTCCTTCAGTGTCGCTGGTCGAAGTCCTGGAATTCCATCCCTAAGGGCATTGGGGGTCTACTTACAGCACACAGACTGGAGCGGTTCAAGAAGGCATCACCATCTCAAGGGGTAATTAGGGACGGACAATAAATGCAGCCCTATCCAGTGAAATTCATATTCTGTGAATAAATTGAGAAAACAAATTGACAGTTAGCTGTTCCCTAGTGCATTTTCCATGGCAACACCCTGACCAATCAGAGTCTCCTTGCCAACCAATCAGGAACCGCTTGGCATGCAGTAAAGAGGCTTGTTCCTTTTGAGATTTGGTATTCTTGTCATTCTGTCCTGATGACAGCAGGACAAAAAATATTGACGCATGTCTCTTCTTTTTTCAGCAATTCTCAAGATCTGTACAACCGAGTGACTATAAATCAAACAACAAATATTAGGAACACTCAACAGGACAGGCAACATCTGTAGAGAAGTCAACAGAGACAGCATTTCAGGATAACAACTCTGTTTGGGGTATTAACATCAGCAAGTAATGGAAGATGCTGTGGAGGGATTTTGCTGATTAATAGATGTGTCTTGTGTAGTTAAGCAGTGTTACATCCTTGACTGCTTATCTTTCAGGCTGAAGAGGAATTTGTTAATGCCCAGAATGAGTTTGAAGAACTGAATGCACAACTTCGTGAGGAGCTCCCTGAACTGTGGAGCAGGTATGGTCTCCTAGGACCCAGGGGGCTCTTTCTTACAAAGAACATCATCAACGGATCACCCTCAGGCAGTGCGTGGAGGGGGTGGTTACAATCGTGTGGACCATGAACTGCCCCATAAATCCTGTTGCAGAGTTGGAACGCTGAATAGTTTATGGTCAAGAGACATATAGGGGAAGCAAGGCTGATGAAAAGCTGACTTCTACTACGTGAATGCAATGTTTAACTCCTGGTTTGGTCAATGTTTGATGTGCTGATACACCAATACTGGCAGATAGGCTGGCATTGGAGGCAATGGCCTAGTGGTAGTGTTACTGGACTGTTAATCCCAAGACCCCAGTAATAGTCTGGGGACCTGGGTTCGAAACTCGTCATGACAGAGGGTGGAATTTCAATTTAATACAAATCTGGAATTAAAGAGTCTAATGATGACCATGAATTCATTGCTGATTGTGGGGAAAAGCCCATCGAGTTCACTAATGCCCTTTAGGGAAGGAAACTGCCATCCTTACCTGGTCTGGCCTACATGTGACTCCAGACCACAGCAATGTGGTTGACTCTTAATTGCCCTCTGGGATGGCAATAAATGCTGGCCTAGCCAGTGTCGCCTTCATCCAGTTAATTAATTTTTTTAAAAATCCAGAGAAGGTTCACTTGGCTGATCGCAGGAATGGAGGGACTGTCTTATGAGATTGGGCCTGTACTTGTTGGAGTTTAGAAGAATGAGATGTGACCTTATTAAAAGATACAAGGTTCTTAGGGGATGTGACAGGGGACATGTTGAGAGGTTGTTTCCCCTCGTGGGAGAGTCTAGGACCAGAGGGTGCAATCTCAGAATAAGGGGTCACCCATTTAACACAGAGATGGGGAGGAATTTCTTCTCTCAGAGGGGAGTGAATCTGTGGAATTCTTTACTACAGAGGGCTGTCGAGGCTGGGTCACCAAGTATATTCAAGGCTGATTTTTAATCAAGAACGGGAATCAGGGGTTCTGGGGAAAAGGCAAGAAAGTGGATGTGAGGACTGTGATGGCAGTTTCCCTACCTCTGAACCAGGGGGCCCAGGTTCAAGTCCCACCTTCTGCAGAGGCATGTAATAACATCTCTGAGCAGGTTGATTAGGAAAATATCAAAAAGCACAGCCACAATCTCATTGAATGGCAGAAAAGACTCAATGGGCTGAATGGCCTGCTTCTGCTCCTACGTCTTATGGTTTTAATACCTGAGACTTGCCCCTTGTGTGCCTTGAAGCAGTGGCGTCGTGTTTGCTACCACCTTGTGAGCCAGCCTAGCTCTAAACAGAGAATTGAAATTTATTTTGCTTGGCCTGTGTACTGAGAGAGATAGAACAGGGCTCCAAGGTACCCTTGTAAAACAGGGCAGAGAGAAGAATTGTTTAAAATAGGTCAGAAGTAGTTCATTATGGGGGAGTTACAAACTCAGTCTGTTTTGGAGGCCCCATTCAATCTAACGGGAATGATTCCTGGACTGGATATCTGAACACATGAAGTATGCAATTCTGTCCACTTTGTGGCACTCTCACTCCTGGAGCCTTTTCAAATGGTGTAACTGCTGATCATAATTCCTTTTTTTTGACAGCCGCATTGGATGCTACGTGACAATATTTCAGAACATGTCCAACTTACGGGATATCTTTTATCAGGAAATGAGCAAGGTAAGCATGCGGCTTGTTTAAATAGGAGCAACACAAAATTGTGAAAGTGCGTGAGGAAGCACAGATTAAGCAATGCCCAAAAATGCAGCAATCTCATTGTGTGCAACTCTGTATCTGACCCCATACTCTGCCTGTTCTCGGAGTGTTTGATGGGGAACAGTGTCATCGAAACGTGACTCTGTATCTAACCCCCTGCTGTCCCTGTCATAGAAACCCCACAGTGAAGAAACAGGCCATTTGGCACAACTAGTCCATACCGACCCTCTGAAGAGCATCCCACCCAGACCAATTCCCCAATCCTATCCCTGTAACCCAGAATTTCCCATGGCGAAAGCACCTGATCTACATGTCCCTGGACACTACAGGACAATTTAGCATGGCCAATCCACCTAACCTGCACATTTTTGGACTGTGGGAGGAAACTGGAGCACCTAGCGGAAACCCATACAGACACAGGGAGAATGAACAATTTCCACAGAGACAGTCACCCGAGGTTGAAATTGAACCCAACTCCCTAGCACTGTGAGGCAGTAGTGCTAACCACTGAGCCAACATGCCTCCCTGTCATGGGAGTGATTGATGGGGGACAGTGTAGAGAGAGCTTTACACTGTATCTAACTCCGTGCTGTCCCTGTCATGGGAGTGTTTGATGGGGGACAGTTTCAAGGGAGCCTTACTCTGTAGCTAACACCATGCTGTTCCTGTCCTGGGAGTGTTTGATGTGGACAGTGTAAAGGGAGCTTTACTCTGTATCTAACCCCGTGCTGTCCCTGTCCTGGGAGTGCTTGATGTGGACAGTGTAGAGGAAGCTTTACTCTGTATCTAACACCTTGCTGTCCCTGTTCTGGGAGTATTTGATGAGAGACAGTGGAGAGGAAGCTTTACTCTCTATCTAACCCTGTGCTGTCCCTGGGAGTGTTTGATGAGAGACAGTGGAGAGAGAGATTTACTCTGTATCTAACCCCGTGCTGCCCCTGTCCCTGGGAGTGTTTGATGAGAGACAGTGTAGAGAGAGCTTTACTCTGTATCTAACCCAATGCTGTCCCTGTGGCAGGAGCGCTTGATGGGGATGGTGTAAAGAGAGCTTTATTCTATTTAACCCGATGCTGTCCATTTCTTGGGAGTGTTTGATGGGGAACAGTATAGAGAGAGCTCTCTCTGTAAATAATGCTGTGCTGCCCCTGTCCCTGGGAGTGTTTGACGGGGGGGCAATGTAGAGGGAGCGTTACTCTGTATCTAACCCTGTGCTGTCCCTAACCTGAGAGTGTTTGATGGGGGACAGTTTAGAGGGAGCTTCACTTTGTATCTAGCCCCGCGGTGTGCCTGTCCTGCAAATGTTTGATGGGGGACAGTGTGGAGAGAGCATTACGCTGTATCTGACACCTTGCTGTCCCTGCCCTGGGATTGTTTGATGGGAACTGTGTGTAAAGACCTTTACTCGGTATCTAACCCTGTGCTGTCCGTGTCCTGGGAGTGTCTGATAGGAGACAGTGTAGAGGGAGCTTTACTCTGTATCTAACCTTATGCTGTCCCTGTCCCTGGGAGTCTGTGATTGGTGACAGTGTAGAGGGAGGTTTACTCTGTACCTAACCCTGTGCTGCCCCTGTCCTAGGAGTGTTTGATGGGGGTCAGTGTAGAGGGAACATTTCTCTGTATCTAACTCTATGCTGCCCATGTCCTCGGAGCGTTTGATGGAGGACAGTGTAGAGGGAACATTATGCTGCATCTAACCATTTGCTGTCCCTGTCCTGGGAGTGTTTGATGGGGGACAGTCAATAGGGAACATTACTATGCATCTAACCCCGTGCTCTCCATGTCCTGGAAGGTGCAATTGGTGACGATGTAGAGGGAGATTTACTCTGTACCAAACCCCGGGCTGTCCCTGTCCTCGGAGTGTTTGATGGGGACAGTGTAGAGGGAGCTTTACTCTGTATCTAACTCCATGCTGTCCCTGTCCTGGGAGTGTTTGGCGGGGGACAGTGTAGAGGGAGATTTACTCTGTATCTAACCCCGTGCTGACCCTGTCCTGGGAGTGTTTGATGGGGGGACAGTGTAGAGGGAGCTTTACTCTGTATCTAACCCTGTGCTGACCCTGTCCTGGGAATGTCTGATGGGGACAGTTTTAAGGGAGCTTTACTCTGTATCTAATCCTGTGCTGACCCTGTGCTGGACGTGTTTGATGGCGGCCAATGTAGAAAGATCATTACTCTCTGTCTAACCCAATGATGCATATTATTTTCTATTCCCAGCTCTGTGAGTTAAGGTGATGATGAGGATGTCATCTCTGGGATTGAATGCCACGTTGATTTTAAAACTCATTGGAACAATTGCTGTCACTCCTCAGCTCTAGAGAAACATTCTCGCTGTGTCTCTCTTGTTGTCCTCCTCATGCTCAGTGCGTCCTTGTGTTTTTGCAGCTTAACCAGGGCCTGTACTCTGTGATGACCAAACTGGAGAAGCAGCATAGTACAAAGGTGTTTATCGTGAAGGGTGTGGCAACGTAAGTCAGCGCAAGATGCCACAGCAGCAATGCCATGCTCCCCTGTTGTCAGCTTTGATGGCAGCTCAGCGTTTGTGTGTCTCTCTGTGTTCTCCCTCCCTTAAGTCTAACAAGCATTGCTTCTTCACTTCAAACTGCTTTCCTTCCCAACCTTCATTTCTACTTTGCTTTTGCCTCTTTTCAGTTCTCTGCATCGTCATGGAACCTTGGCAGCCACATACCCCATCATTACACATCATTGATCAATTGATATTTCGCTGGTGTCTCATTGTTCTGCATCTCCTGCTATGCCCAAGACTTTATCTGCCTTCAATATGTTGTGATGAGCATCTCCCCTAGAGACTCACACTTCAGCACGTATCACCAATCTCCCTGATCTGGCTCTGGCCTCATTCTGTGGTCTCACATCGTCTACACCCTTCCTCTCCTCAGTCACAATGTTCCTCTCCTGAGCAGATGTAAAGTTCACTCCTTCCTTTTCTTTGGAGAATGAGTTCTACATCCCTCTTAGTTTCTTGTTCATTGATATCAGTGCATTACAATTCCTCCTTCTCACCCACTTTGATCTGTTTCACCCCTGTATGACCTTGGTTTCTTTGTTCCCCTTGTAATAATTCCGTCTCCCTGTTGGCCTCTGATTTCCACTCTCACCCAGGGTTGTCAACCTCCATTTTTCCCTGTTCGTTCCATTAAATTTGGAACATGGTGTTCAGTTTCTTCTTCTTTATGCTGTTTCTGGTCATCTTCAGTCATGTTTGGCTGGAGCATCTAAGACAAAGGTGGAAGTTTTATTCTAAAAGCTCCATCCCCAATCCATCAATAACTCTGAACCCATTCTGAGTGAAATTGGGCGAGACTTAAGACCTTATTCTTTTGTGTATCATGTTGCAATTGTAAGAACTCCTTATTCAGCTTCTCCATTCATTTGAGAACAATGCGGTGATTGTGTCACTTGTATAAAATTATATTTGTAAACTGCAGAGCGTCATTCGGGACTACAATGTTCAAAATCCCATACATTGCGAAGAGTCTCTTGGGTGACTCTATCATGATCTCTATCATAACTTTGTGTAACAGTGGCTCAGTGATTAGCCCTACTTCTGCACTGTAGGGGTTCCGTGTAGACAGCTTTCCCCAGTCAATATGCTGCTGAATCTCCTCTGCACCCTCTCCAGTGCAATCACATGAATGATTTTATTGACATGTGTATTTGACACCATTTTGAATAATTTGAGAGTAAGGAGACAAAAGGAAGATATAAGTTAAAGAGAGTCCGTCAGTCCTGAGCCAGCTTATCACCATCAATGACACCTGCACTGCTTTGTCTTCCTTAAGTGTGGTGACCAGAGCTGCACACCATACTCCATCTGTGGCCTAACAAACATTATGTACAGCTCCAACAAAACCTCCCTGCTCTTGTATTCCATATGCCTTCTTAACCACCTTATCTACCTGTCCTGCTGCCTTCAACGATCTATGGACATGAACACCAAGGTCCCTCTGACCCTCTGTACTTCCTAGAGCCCCACCATTCATTGTGTACTCCCTTGCCTTGTTAGTCCTCCCAAAATTGCTTAAACGTCCTTCATTAGACCACCTTCCCCCACCCTCGATCCCAGGAATGAGTTGAGTGAATCTGAATTCTCGCCTCCTTTTGGCTCCTCTCTCCGGATGGTGCCAACTGCCACTGGCTGAATTTTGTCCTTTACCCAAGTGGCCAGTTTGTGGTGTGAGGCCGCACGTGGGTGCATTTGCTGTTAGCTCCAGCAGTGAATTCCCGTAGCACTGCTGTCCCGCATCCAATCAAACATGTCAGGGAGTTGAGCCCGACCCGAGCACCTCCTCATCTGAGAAACGTGGAAAATAGGAGCAGGAGGAGACCATTCGGCCCTTTGAGCCTGCTCTGCCTTTCAGTATGATCATCCAACCCAGTCCCTACTTTCTCCCCATACCCTTTGATCCCTTTAGCCCTAAGAACTATATCTAAGTCAACCTGAAGTCTTCACTGTGTGATCTATCTGGCTCAGTGCCACAACAAACTGGGCTCTCATCTTCCTGAGCTAACAACTGTCTATGATGGCTTTTATTAACACTGTTGATCACCTATGAACACATGAGGTACCTGTGCTTTCTCTGTTACAGCAACAGGCGTTCATTGATTATCTCGTCACCAGTCAATCCTGCAAGTCAACTTTCAACCTCGTCAGAGATCAGCCTTGACCAATCTCCAGCGGCCGCTGCTTTGCCAAAGGAAGAGGCAGTACCTCCTAGTGCCCCATCGTCCACTGAAGCTGATCTGGCACAACCAACGGCACTGAGTCAGGCAGCCCCTGAAACGACCGAGCCACGCAAGGAGATCCTCCCTGCTGCTGCATCGTCACCCATCGAAACTCCGAAGCCTCTTCCACGCTTATCGCTAAGCCAGGTTGAGTCCCTAGATCTCCCTTCTTCCGAGGCACTATCTCCTCTAGCCTCACTTCAAGATACATCAGTCTCGGCTGATCTGGAACTTGCTGAGAAGCCTGGAGATTCGAGGTCAGAGTCTCCTGCCAAGGTGGTTGACACTCCTCCACTCGAAGCCCCTCGAAGTGACTCATCTCCACCAGAACCAACACTGGATGCAAGGTCCAGCGATGAATCTATCACTGATGGAAAGCACCCAGAAGTGTCAGCTGTCAATACCTCGCCATCACTGGAAACCTTATCCACTGTTAATGTTGACGCTGGTGAGGAACCCAGCACAGCCACTGAAGAATTAAATCTTTCGTCAATTCAAAATCCATCAACAGATCTGGCCACAAATCCTTGCCCAGCCCCATCGACTGGAGAAGTACCTCCGATGCCGAGTGATGCCCTCGAAGTCTCACCACCCGTGTCTTCTGATGCATTGGCTTCTTCTGAAAGTCAAGCACCTCGCGAGGAGATCGTGGAGGCTAGCCCTGTGGTGCTTGAAGATTCTGAGGCCCAACCTTCACCTTTGACGGACGATCGGGCATCGTCTGAGGGCATTCCCCAGGCCAGTCCTATAACCTCAGAGGTAGGACCTGAAAGCCAGGCCTTGAGTGAAGCCTTGTCCTCCCCTGAGGAAAGTACAGTCAACGAGGCGACTAGTTCAAGTAGCCCTCCAGCTCCTGAAATGCCACAAACTTGTATTGGGGAAAAAATGCCGCCTAAAGCTCAGAGCGAAGGCCCAGTACTTTCAGTTTCCCTTCCAGAGAATGATACCTTGAGCTCGTCAGAAGATGGCTCCCAGGACACTCCAGAGCCTTGTGAACTCGCCGTGACATCTGACCCAACGTCACCGGAGCCAGTGCCTCAGGTAAGGGGGATAGAGACATCGGGCTGATCAAAATTCAAGGAACCACTCACACCCCCCGTCTGGTTTCTGTCCAGCCCCACTCTTGCGCTGATGAAAGAAACTAGGAGTCATTCCATCGTTGTAAAGTGCGATTGTGTAGAACAGTTGCAGCTCTGAGGCTGATACCTGGGATTGTCTTGGTTTGAAGACAATGGATACGGGGACCATGAGCAGGTCAATGACACCCACTTATTTCCAACAGCTCAGAGTTTACCATATTCCAGTATTAAATATGTGCAAACGATTTTTTGTTTAAAGACATTACAAATATGTAGATCACACAATTCCCTCTGACACCATTCATTTGGTCTTTGAGGGACCACATCTCTTCCGTTTCCACTGTTTTGTCTTTATCTTAAAATCTTCTTTTTTCTCTTTCCCAATCACTCCACTCTCTTCTAGTTCGATGCATCCCTTCGTTTCTCCCCTCTCGGAGTCCTCAGCTCTCCCGATCCTCGCTTCCCAAACCTTTGGCCCTCCTCAAGTTGCCTTCTCTCTTACAGGCATCCCACGTGGTCTCCCTTGTGGTCCATCTACTGCCTGACCCTGTTGGCATCCTTCAATGGGGGTGGGCCAGTGAAGCACTCAGCAAACTGTAATCCTGAGTGCACCCCCCCATCTCACTCTCCCATTGACCTTTCCACCCTGTATTTATGGAAGCTATTGTAGAATTATAGAGTCATATAGCTCAGAAACAGTCCCTTTGGTCCAACCAGTCCATTCCGACCATAATCCCAAAGTAAACTAGTCCCACCTCCCTGCAGTTGGCCCATATCCCCTCAAACATTTCTTATTCATGTACTTATCCAAATGTTGTAACTCTACCCACATCCACCACTTCCTCTGGAAGTTCATTCCACACATAAACAAAATTGCCCCTCATGTCTTTTTTAAATCTTTTGCCTCTCACCTTAAAAATGCCCTACCCTTGGGAAAAGACACCTGCCATTCACTTTATCTACACCCCTTATGATTTTATAAACCTCTGTGAGGTCACCCCTCAACCTCCTATGCTCCAATGAAAAATGTCCCAGCCTATCCAGCCTCTCCTTATAACTCAAACTGTCAACTCCCAGCAACATCCCAGTAAATCTCTCCCGAACCCTCTCCAATTTATTAATATCCGTCCTATAACTGGGGAACCAGAACTGGACACGTTACTCCAGAAGAGGCCTTACCAACGTCCTGTGTAACCTCAACATGACGTCCCAACCTTCTATAAGGTGTCTCATTATTCTTCTTATTATTCTCATTCTTGACAATCTCCTTCCTGATCAACTCACCCTCTGACTGCAGATTCGATCAAAGGCTGTGTCTGCATCTCCATCTAGCCTGTCCATTCACTGGTGAACACCCTTGCTGTTCCATGAATTTATTGCGGCCTTAATGGAAACCTGGCTGAAGGGTGCTGAGACCTTTCCCCTGGAATATCTCTCACCACTTGTCCTTGCCATACCATCACAGTGGTGCTGTGACACTTTCACTGGATCACATATTGAACTGACCCCCTCAGCCCTTTGCTTTATACTCCTCCTTTCAGCGTCTTACTCTTTTCACTTCTCATTCAAATTCCTCACTTGCTATGCTTACCCAATTAAACAAAACACAGAAACCCACAAAATAGGAGCAGGAGTAGGCCATTCAGCCCTTCGAGCCTGCTCTGCTAGTCAGTAGGATCATAGCTGATAATCCAACTCAGTCCCCTGTTCCCACTTTCTCCCCATATCCTTTGATCCCTGTAGCCCTACAAACTCTCTCTAACTCCTTCTTGAAATCAGTGTATTGGCCTCAACCACTTGCTGTGACAGAGAATTCCACAGGCTCCCCACTCTGTGTGAAGACATTTCTCCTCATCTCAGTCCTAAATGGCCTACCCCTTACCCTTACATTGTGACCCCCTCCCCGGTTCTGAACTCCCCAGCCATCAGGAACATCCTCCCTGTGTTTACCCTGTCTAGTCCTGTTAGAATTTTATAGGTTTCTATGAGATCTCCCCTCCATCATTCTTCTAAACTCCAGTGAATATAGTCCTCACTGTCTCTCATCGTACATCGGTCCTGCCATCCAGATAATAAAAATTTTTCACTGCACTTCCTTCACTGCTTCTCGTCCTTAGCCTCTGCATCAACTGCCTTCTCATCCTTTGTGCTTTCAATCTCCATCTCACCTTCTCTGAGTTCATTGCCCTTGTAACCTCCCTAAATATCTCCCTCCGTATAAACTCCTCAATCCTTATTCAAGGCCATAACTTTGTTCTTGCTGGTTTTAGTGAAACTAGCACACTCTCTCACTCTGTCTGTCCTCCCTGATACCATCCTCATCTTCATTTCTGTAAATCCGAGGAACACAGATTGGCATGGATGTGATCAACACCTGATTTGTTCGTCCTTCACTAAATCTGGATGCCCAATAAAGCACTTTCACATCCTGCTCCGTCTTGAAGATATCTAATGAACTGGCTCAACAGGTTTCGGTGGGAGAGAATACCACAGGTTCAGAACTCTCTGAGTGAAGAAATTCTTCCTCATCTCAGGCCTGAATGGCTTTACCCCTTATTCTTAGACTGTGACCCCTTGTTCTGGACTTGCCCAACATCAGGAATGTTCTTCCCGCGTCTAGCCTGTCCAGTCCCATCAGGATTTTATATGTTTCTATGAGATCCACCCCCACCTCACGCCACCACCAACCACCACCACCGCCCCACCCCATGCTTCTAAATTCCAGTGAGTATAAGCCCAGTCAATCCAGTCTTTCTTTATATGTCAGTCCTGCCATCCTGGGAATCAGTTTGGTGAACCGTCACTGGACTCCGTCCATAACAAAAATGTCCTCCTTCAGGCTAGGAGACCAAAACTGCAGACAATACTCAAGGTGTGACCTCACCAAGGCCCTCTATAACTGCAGCAAGACATTCTTACTCCAATACTGAAATCCTCCAAAGAAGTTTGCCTAGACCCTAATTTTTTCTTATTTTTAAAGGCAAGTGTAATGTGTTGTGTTCAGGCTGCAATTTGATTGGTCAAACTACCAGGCTTGAAGCAAAACACACCTTATTCTTACACTATAGTTAAAATACAGACATAATAAAATACAGAATAAAATAAATTAGCTTAACTGTAACTTCTACTGAAATACTTAACAAGATAATATACATGTTGACTACCACTGATTAGCTGTTCCAATATAGTAACATCCCAGGAACACACCCTTAGCAAAGGCACATTCAGTGAAATAAATTGTCTCACATGCAATTCTCCAGTCCAGGAGGAAAGAACATCAAGAGAAAAGTCTGAGAGAGAGAAAGAACTCAGATGTTTTGCTGTAGCAGAGGAAGGTGTATTGCAGCTTCCAAACCCCAACGGCCGCTGAAAGTTTAACTAAAATTCTGGTTCTGTGGGAGCTTGACCCTACCCCTTCAGGCTGCTTCTATTGTTCCAAATTTAAAAAAAAACCCAAGGCCTCACTTTATTGGCTTGGAGCAGAGCACTCGGTACCTCTGTCTCAACCTCTCTTGAAAAAAACCAAGTCAGAATGTACCTATTAAAGCCAGAGTATTGCCACACAGGGTGTGGGCATCACTGGTGAGGCCAGTATTTGCTGCCCATCCCAATTTGCCTCTTGAACTAAATGGCTTGCCCATTTCAGAGGACAGTTAAGAGTCAACAATATTGCTGTAGGTCTGGAGTCACATGTAGACCAGACCAGGTAAAGATGGCAGATTTCCTTCCCTGAAGAGAACCAGCTGAGCTCTTACAACAATTGATAGTTATCATAGTTATCACCTCTGAGAGTTGATTGAATTTTATGGTTGGAGTTTGCTGCCATGGTGGGATTTGAACCCATGACGGCTGAGTTTTAGCTTGGGCATTACTGTTATCTAACTGTCACCCCTGTTCAATATTCCAGGATCATCCCAAATGCACACATAATCTGTGGTTTCTTTTCTCTGTCGCACACCATCTTCTTCAACCTCTCTCTCTCCCTCCCCTCCGTCCCCTCCACCCTCATCTCCAACAACTCACGTGTCTCTTTTGCACGAAGATTGAGATGGCCCATTTGGCTGTCTCGTTACTTCCCTCATTTTCCACCTATCCTTCCATTAAATGAGGTGGCATGGTGGCTCAGTGGTCAGCACTGCTGCCTCACAGCGCCAGGAACCTGATTTTGATTCCACCCTCGGGCAACTGTCTATGTGGAGTTTGCACATTCTCCCTGTGTCTGTATGGGTTTCCTCCGGGTGCTCTGGTTTCCTCCCACAGTCCAAAGATGTGCAGGTTAGGGTGGATTAACCATGTATATTGCCCATAGTGTCCAGGGATACATGGGTTAGGTGGGCTGTTGAGTCTAGTTAGGATGCAATTCAGGGGGTCGCTGTGGACTCAATGGGTCAAATGGCCTGCTTCCACACTGTAGGCATTCTATGAAACGATTCCCCCTCCTCTTCCCTCCCCTCCCCTCTTCAACCTGAGCCCTAAACCCATGAAATATCAGTTTTGGAACAAGTCAGACGTAATGATGTGACTAATTTTGAATTCAAGGCAGGGAGTGTTGGTAAGGGAGGAGGACAAGTTACGGTTCACTCAGGGAGTCAAGTTGCTGTGGCAACAGATGCTTTTACCAACATGTTGTACCCTCGAGACCTGGATAATGATTGTACAGGCTCCGATTCTCATTCCACTTCATGAAGGACCTGAATCTCTCCCACTCTTACTACCTGCCGATGGTGTCAGTTGGAAGGGTTCACAAGTTGATCCTTAACTTGTTTGGCCTCGTTATCAACTCACCTTCCTTGTCCATCAAGTCCTGGGAGTGGGACTCGAACCTGGAGCTTCTAGCTCAGAGGCAGGGACGCTGCCCACTCCGTCACAAGGGCTGCAGGACCTGCGATCTTAGCCTTGTATTGATATATCTGACCCAGTTGCGTGTTATAAATGATAGGGAAAATTTATTTTCAAAACTGCCAATACTGAGATTCATACCATTACGTTTATCCCATTTAGGACATGGCTGTTCCCGTTGCTGATAAGGGCAAGGTGGAAGACATCAGAGATAAGGCTGATGAAAGAAAAGAGGCATCTCTGTCTTCTTCAGGCAGTGAAGGACTGACATTGGATGAAAGCAACGCTGTGGAGCAGTCAGCTTGTGAAGAACTGCCACCTGGATTTATGTATAAGGTACATATGTTCCCGACTGAGGCATTGCTCCACTAGTCACATTATCAGTGCAAATGTTTAAGTTACTCAGTTGCATCTCGCTGGGGTAGATCAAACCCCACTATTTGCAGAGTTACCACAGCCCTTAAAGCTTCTAAAAGTACATGGAATTCCCCTATTTTTCTGTCTTGAAGACGCAGGTTGATAGAAAGCACAGACCAGGTTTTGGGGATTCTACATATACATTAAGGACAAAAGGGTAACTACGGAGAGAATAGGGCCCCTTAAAGATCAGCAAGGCCTCCTATGTGTGGAACTGCAGGAGGTGATGGAGATACTAAATGAGTATTTTGCGTCAGTATTTACTGTGGGGAAGGATTTTGAAGCTAGATAAATTGGAGAAATAAATAGCAACATCTTGAAAAATGTCCATATGAGAGAGGAGGAGGTGCTGGATGTCTTAAAACACATAAAGGTGGATAAATCCCCGGGACCTGATTAGGTGTACCCTAGAACTCTGTGGGAAGCTAGGGAAGTGATTGCTGGGGCCCTTGCTGACATATTTGTAACATCGATAGCCACAGATGAGATGCCGGAAGACTGGAGGTTGGCTAAAGTGGTGCCACTGTTTAAGAAAGGTGGTAAGGAAAAGCCAGGGATCTATAGACCGGTGAGCCTGACATCAGTGGGTAAGTTGTTGGAGGGGATCCTGAGGGACAGGATTTACATGTGTTTGAAAAGGCAAGGACTGATTATGGATAGTCAACATGGCTTTGTGCATAGGAAATTATGTCTCAATAACTTGATTGAGTTTTTTGAAGACGTAACGAAGAGGACTGATGAAGGCAGAGTGGCGGACGTGACCTATATGGACTCCAGTAAGGTGTTCAACAAGGTTCCTCATGGTAGACTGGTTAGCAAGTTAGATCACATGGGATACAGGGAGAACTAGCCATTTGGATACAGAACTAGCTCAAAGGTAGGAGACAGAGGGTGGTGATGGAGGGTTGCTTTTCAGACTGGAGGCCTGCGACTAGCAGCCACAAGGATCGGTGGTGGGTCCACTGCTTTTGGTCAATTATAGAAATGATTGTGAACATAGGAGGTATGGTTAGTAAGTTTGCAGATGACACCAAAATTGATGGTGTGGTGGACAGTGAAGAAGGTTACCTCAGAGTACAGCGGGACCTTGATCAGATGGGCCAATGGGCCGAGGAGTGGCGGATGGAGTTTAATTTAGATAAATGTGAGGTGCTGCATTTTTGGAAAGGCAAATCAGGACAGGACTTATACACTTAATGGTAAGGTCCCGGGGAGTGATGCTGAACAAAGAGACCTTGGAGTACAGGTTCATAGTTCCTTGAAAGTGGAGTTGCAGGTCGACAGGGTAGTGAAGGAGGTGTTTGGTAAGCTTGCCTTTACTGGTCAGTGCATTGAGTATAGGAGTTGGGAGGGTCATGTTGCAGCTGTACAGGACATTGGTTAGGCCACTATTGTAATACTGTGTTCACTCCTGGTCTCTCTGCTATAGGAAAGATGTTGTGAAACCTGAAAGGGTTCAAAAAAGATTTACAAGGATGTTGCTGGGATTGGAGGGTTTGAGCTATAGGGAGAGGCTGAATAGGCTGGGGCTATTTTCCCTGGAGCATCGGAAGCTGAGGGGTGACCTTATAGAGGTTTATAAAATCATGAGGGGCATGGATAGGGTAAATAGCCAAGGTCTTTTCCCTAGAGTGATGGAGTCCAGAACTAGAGGGCATAGGTTTAAGGAGCGAGGGAAAAGTTATAAAAGGGCCTAAGGGGCAACATTTTCACACAGAGGGTGGTGCGTGTATGGAAGAAGCTGCCAGAGGAAGTGGTGGAGGCTGGTACGATTCCAACATTTAAAAAAGCATCTGGATGGGTATATGAATAGGAAGGGTTTAGAGAAATTGGAGAAATAAATGGCGACATCTTGAAAAATGTCCATATTAGAGAGGAGGAGGTGCTGGACGTCTTAAAACACATAAAGGTGGATAAATCCCTGGGACCTGATTAAGTGTACCCCAGAACTCTGTGGGAAGCTAGAGAAGTGAGTGTGGGCCAAATGCTGGAAAATGGGACTAGATTAATTTCGGATTTCTGGTCAGCATGGATGAGTTGGACTGAATGGTCTGTTTCTATATTGTACAGCTCTATGACTCTACTTACAAGAATTGCGATTTACTACAAGGAAATAGACTCTGGCTGTAGATAAACAATTATGAGCTGTCAGCATATAACGACAAATTAAAACTCTAACCCTCTTATAAACTCCCCCATGACACTCTCATATAGACTCACACACACACACTCTCGCACACAGATTCAGATTCGCCCTCGCGCACACACACTCAGAATCTCACACACACAAGTACAAACTCTCATACACACTCACTCGCACACACACGCAGACACACATACACTCTCATACAGACACACACACAGAATCTCTCTCTCACCCACAGACACACACAAACTCTCACACACACTGACATGCACTCAGAATCTCACAAGCATACACGCACACACACACACACACACACACACACACACACATTCAGAATCTGACACACACTCATAAACAGACATAAACACTCACGCAGACACACACATAAACAAACATACACACATACTCACACACAAGATACACACATGCACATGCTCACACACACGCTCACACATATATAAACAGACACACACATAGACGCATGTATGTAAACAAACATATACACACACACACACAGAGTAAAACAAAGGACAGAGATTGATGAATTCTCAGTCTGTGGAGCTTTTTTTTGCTGCTGATATTTTTCCCCAAATCACCTGTGTCTCTGCTGAGCTTGACAAAATTGAATTGATGACAGCTGTGTACCAATGCAAGATTTTTTAAACAAACATTCAATTCCATTGCAAATCATGCTGAATCCAAGCCTTTGGAAAGTAGTCACAGTTCTGCTTCTCTGTGTTTGCATGATCGTCAAAATACAAGGTGTTGGCTTGATCGAGTTCCCAAATTTCAACCAGGAGAGGGAGCGTGATCTTGAACCTTACAACTCCTCACTACTGCTTCTATCTGCTTCTTTTCTTCCTTTCTGACTCCCCAGATGTTTGAAGTGGAAGCCAAATCTAGCAACTGTTGCTAGGTAACCACCAGCTTCGAAGCCTCACGTTATCTTCCAAAGACCTGTGAGCACAATCGATCCTCTTCATTCCAGAAACTGTCCAAACAATTCAATATCTTCCAGTTTTTTGCATAGTCCTAAGAATGCCACAGAATCCTCTCTGAGCTATTGAGTTTAAGATGGATGTAACTTACTAATATCTCTGACTGGGATTTAACCAGCTAACAAATAAAACCAAAAGAACTGCAGATGCTGGAAATCAGAAACAAAAGCAGAAATTGCTGGAAAATCCCAGCACCTGTGGAGCATCTATGGAGAGAAATCAGAGTTAACATTTCTGGTCCAGTGACCAAGTCTGTCAATCCTGCTGTCTGGTTGTTGGAAGTTGCATTGAAACAGAACAATCACCAAAGTGCTTTTGTTATTTACCAGAATCAATCTATTCTTGCAGCAAAGAGTTGCTCAGTTTTCTGCTGTGCCGGTAATGTGATACCTCCTCAAAATACAAGAAATATCTGACTTCCAGCCTTCACTATGCAAGCTCAGCATCGCTGAGACATCCCTGGAGCAGGATGTGTCTCAGCCGAAGGGGTATCATGAACCATATAGACAGGCTTTGTGCCTACATCTTTTTTTGACTATTCATGAAATGTGGGCTTCGCTGGCTGACCAGCATTTATGGCCTGTCCCTAGTTGCTCTTTGAGAGGGTGGCGTTGAGTTGCCTTCTTGAGCTGCTGCAATCCATGTGCTGTAGGTCGACCCACAATGCTTGTAGGGAAGTAATTCCAGGATTTTGACCTGGCAACACTGAAGGAATGGCAATATAGTTCCAAGTCAAGATGGTGAGTGGTTTGAAGGGGAACCTGCAGGGAATGGTGTTCCCATGTATCTGCTGCCCTTGTCCTTTTAGATGGAAGTGGTCATGGGTTTGGAAGATGTTTGGGGACCCTTGGTCAATTTCTGCAATGCATCTTATAGATGGTACACATTGCTGCTACAGTGTGTCAGTGGTGGAGGGAGTGGATGTTTGTGGATGTAGTGCTATTCAAATGGGCTGCTTTGACCTGGATGTCGTCAAGTTTCTTGAGTGTTGTTGGAGCCCATTCGGCAAGTGGGGAGTATTCTATCACACTCCTGACTTGTGCCTTGTAGATGGTGGACAGGCTTTGGGGAGTCAGGAGGTGAGATACTTGCCGCAGTATTCTAGCCTTTGAATTGCACTTATAGCTGCTGTGTTTATGTGGTGAGTCCAGTTCAGTTTCTGGTAACCCTGAGGATGTTGATAGTGAGAGATTCAGTGATGGTAATGCAATTGACTGTCAAGGAGAGGTGGTCAGATTGTGTCTTGTTACAGATGTACTTTGCCTGGCACTCAGACAAGGGGAAAGGTTGAGAAGGGGAGTCCTTTGCGGTAACCTCAGCCATTCCTGCCAGGAGGAATTGAACTGAAGCTGTTGGCATCACTTGGCATCACAAACCAACAGTCCAGCCAACTGAACTAACCAACCTCCCACAGATGCCCATTTGGAAAACTGGAATGTTGCCATGGGGTCCATCTCATTGCGGGCTCACGGGAATGTGCTCCGAACAATTCAATGGCAGAATGGGTCAAGCACTTGTTCCACAGAGGAAGATACTCAGGCCAGTCTCAGGTACAAGATGATGCAAGTTAAACACAGCATTGCTTCAAGCACAATTGAGGAACGAGGTCCTTTATCCGATGAACTGAGTTGACCGTTAACCCCTCCCTCAGGCTTGGATCATTGATTTCAGCGAGAGGAAACTGCTGCATTTTTGCAAATGCAGCATTCCAAAGTGGTGGGACATTTGTGGAACTTAAAGCTGGACAGACCATAGTTTCAGTTGCTCCCTATCTTCCATCTGGTTGAAGTTTGTTTATACTGTTGTAGAGCAGAGGTGAGTCTTAAGCTTAATCCCAAACTGGGGGTAGGGGATCCTAAGTGGGATCGTGAACTGAAACGTTTGGGTAACCAGCTCCATAGAGCTCCAACAGGTGTATACCAGCTTCTTACCCTCTCTAACAAGCCCTTGCCTTCCAGGATACCACCCAAGACATTACCACTACATTTCACAGGCTTCCTTACCACCCTCCCTTACCCCTACCTGACCTTTGGAACTCTCCCTTCTCTCCCTCAGGTCTCACTGAGGGGTCTGTTCGAGCGTGAAATGGGGTCAGAGCGGGAAAGTGTTTGGCAAGGCAATGGTGGCAATTTCACGAGTGAAAGAGATTTGATCCATGCTGTGTTTTCTTTTGCAGGTTAAGGCCACACACAACTCCTGTGAGGAGGCACACTTACAGTTTACTCAGGGGGACATCATATTGGTTCTGTCTGTCGATGGGACTCAGATAGAGGTGAGCAATTTATGGACTGAGCAGAGAAGCAAGTGACACAATGCGGTCTGCACCCAGCATTGAGAGACAGCCAGTGTTCTCATGTCAGGCCTGCTCCCACTGCCTGCAGGAAAAGGATTTGAGTTGCAATCCCATGGACTCATGAGTGGCTGTTAGTGCAGTGACAGGCTTCACAGAACAACCAGGGGTGTGTTTATCACTGTGGCAAGAAGGAGGGATGAAGGTGGCAGGGGATATATCAACCTGCATCACCAAGAGGCACTGATTGCAGAAGGGGAACGTATGCATGTGAATGAGAGTGTCACTGTGACATGAATGACTTGGCTTTAATGTTTATAAAGTGGCAGAACTGTCCACAACTGTACTGTACCGCACTGTTATACAGTGACCAACTTGGCCCCACTAGCAGTGTACCCCAGTGTTATACAGTGACAGACTTATATCCACCACTACTGCACCCTAATGTTATACAGTGACAGACCTGTCCCCACCAGTACTATACCCCAGTGTTATACAGTAACAGACCTGTCCCCACCAGTACCGTACCCCAGTGTTATACAGCGACAGACCTGTCCCCACCAGTACCGTACCCCAGTAATACAGCGACAGACTCTTCTCCACTACCACTCTATTCCAGTGCTGTAGAGCGACAGACCTGTCCCCACCAGTACGCTATCCCAGTGTTATAGAGTGAAAGACCTGTCCCCACCAGTACTGTACCCCAGTGATATACAATTGCAGACCTATCCTCTCCAGTACTGTACCGCAGTGTTATACTGTGTTGGACCTGTCCACCACTACTGCAGTCCAGTGTTATACAGTAACAAACCTGACCCCACCAGTACTGTACCCCAGTGTTATACAGTGACAGACCTGTCCCCACCCAGTACTGTACCTCGGTGTTACACAGTAACAAACCTGTCCCCACCCAGTACTGTACCTCAGTGTTATACAGTGACAGACCTGTCCCCACCCAGTACTGTACCTCAGTGTTATACAGTAACAAACCTGTCCCCACCGTTACTGTACCCCAGTGTTATACTGTGACAGACCTGTCCACCGTCACTGTTTCCCAGTGTTATACAGTGACAGACTTGTCCACCACTACTGTACCCCAGTGTTTTACAGTGACTGATCTGTCCCCACCAGTACTATAGTCCAGTGTTCTACGATAACAGACCTGTCCCCACCAGTACCGTAGTTCGGTGTTATACAGTAACAGACCTGTCCCCGCCAATACTGTACCCAAGTGTTATACAGTAACACACAGCTCTCCTAGACTGCATGTTTGGAGATGAGGAGTGTGAATTTCTTAATATTGGAACTCACTTGGCGTGATTTGGTACTTTTCTTCTTGTAGTTCCCTGGTATGTCAGTATTTATATGGACAAAGCTCTTTACTGAACTGTCAAGATGTACTGTATGCTCAGTGTTCTCATGAAGCACCAAACCCTCGTGTTTTATCTGTTTATGCCATGGTTTTTATCTGTCCAGAGAGCTGTCCATTTTGCTCCTACTCCTCTTTGCCTGTCTCATGCAGTATTTGTATAAATTGTGTTAAGATCCTGTCCATTGTGACGGTTCCGGTGTTGATGTGCACTTTGTGTTGGCTTATTATTATTATGGGTTGCTCGTTCTGAGTGTTGATGCCAGGTACACATGGCCCAGACGTAATGCCAGCATTATGTGTAATCCCAATGATGCTGTTGGTCTTTTTGTACTTGTTGACGTACTGATTTTCATTTCTGTTACAGACAAAAGGATGCCTAATGGGTGTGAGAGAGGCAGATTGGAGTCTGAAGAAGGATCTTGCCACTCTGCAAGGCCCATTCCCAGAACACCTTGCTGAGCGTGTGGATTGATAACAGATTTGTTTATTGACACTGCTAGCTCCGGCTCCACTGAGAAAGCCATCACATCGCTACATTAATCTAAGTGCAAAGCTGGCTTCCGTGGACTGCAATAGCGAGCACAACAACAGAGCTCGGTTGCAGCTGAACAGTGGCAAAGCTGGAGAAGACTTGAAAGAGCTTTACAGTCTCTGTTTGTATGCCTTTGCCTTGAGTTTCATTTATTGACATGCACTGCATTAAAAAGCCGCATTGTGGAAAACCAGATTGTTGTTTGACTGGAACAGGTTGCCGGCAAAATCTTCAGCACTTTTCCATCCCTTTGACTTGTATGGAATATTGATTTCCCAAAATCCCTTCACTGGGTTCCTGAATGTGGTTGGATAGCGGGGTTGGGTTTGAAAGAGTGATAAATTTGACCTTGTTTCTCTCTTGATTTTGAAATGCAACAATTCAAATTCTGTCATCTGTGCGCAGTTATGGGATTTGAGCTTGAGGTTTTCGTGGCACAAAATGGTTATCAAACCAACCAACAGAGTTCCAGCCCAATTTTTTTTCTTCACTCTTGCCTGGGATGTGGGTGTCACTCACTAGGTCACCATTTGTTGCCCATCCCATGAACTAAATGATGTGTTCGGCCACTCAAGTCAATGTGGGTCTGGAGTCACGTGTAGGCCAGTCCAGGGTGAGAAAGACCATAAGGTGCAGGCGCAGAAGTAGGCCATTCAGTCCATCGAGTCTGCTCCGCCATTCAATGAGATCATGGCTGATGTGATCGTCCTCAACTCAACTTTCCTGCCTTTTCCCCATAACCCTCAATTCCCTTCCTGATTAAAAATCTATCTCAGCCTTCAATCTACTGAATGACCCAGCCTCAACAGCCCTCTGTGGTGAAGAATTCCACAGATTCACTGCCCTCTGAGAGAAGAAATTCCTCCTCATCTCTGTCTTAAATGGGCGACCTCTTATTCTGAGATTACACCCTTTGGTCCTAGACTCTGCCACAAGGGGAAACAACCTCTCCATATCTCCCCTGTCAAGTCCCCTAAGAATCTTATATGTTTCAATAAGGTCACCTCTCATTCTCCTAAACTCCAATGAGTACAGGCCCAACCTCCTCAACCTCTCCTCATAAGACAGTCCCTCCATACCCAGGATCAGCCCAGTGAACCTTCTCTGGACTGCCTCCAATGGCAGCCTATCTTTCCTTGGATAAGGGGCACAAAACTGTTGACAGTGTTCCGTAGTTTTGGCAAAACGTCCCGACTTTTATACACCTTTCCCTTTGAAATAAACATTTCATTTGCCTTCCCTGTTACCTACTTAACCTGGATGCTAGCTTTTCGTAATTCAAACACTTGGACCTCCAAAGCCTTCTGTGCTGTTGGTTCCTGCAGTATTTCTCCATATTAAAAAAATACAACTCTACTATTGTTCCTGCCAAATTGCATAACCTCACAGTTTTCCACGTTATGTCCCATCTGTAAAGCTTTTGCTTTACCTGTGTATATACCTCTGCAAACTCTCAGTGCTACCCTCACCACTTGCATTCCGACCTATTTTTGTGCTGTTGCAAATTTGGCTACAGTACATTCACTTTCCTCATCCAAGTCATTAATATATATTGTCAATAATTGTGACCCCAGCACTGACCCCTGTGGCACTCCACTAGTTACAGGTTGCCAGCCTGAAAGTTATCCCAATTCTGTCTTCTGTTAGTTAGACAATCCTCGATCCATGCTAATATGCTACCTGCAACATGATGGACTCATGTGTGGTACCTCATCATAAGGACAGCGAATTTGCTTCCTAAAGGACATTGGTGAACCAGATGGATGTTAACAACATTTGATGTTTATTGGCATGGTTACTATTACTGATGATAATTTTCATTTGTCTATTCATTAATTAAATGAATTTAAATTCTGCTAATGTGCACAGTGGCTCAGTGGTTAGCACTGCTGCCTCACAGCACTAGGGACCTGGGTTCAATTCCAGCCTCGGGTGACTGTTTGTGTGGCGTTTGTACATTCTCCCCGTGTCTGTGTGGGTTTCCTCCCCCAGTCCAAAAATGTGCAGGTTAGGGTGGGTTGGTCAGGCTAAATTTCCCATAATATCTAGGGATGCGTAGGTTAGGTGGATTAACCATGGGAAATGTGGGGTTATGGGGATAGGGTAGTGGGATGGGTCTGGGTGGTATGCTCTTCAGAGACTTGTTGTGGACTCGATAGAACGAGTAGCCTGCTTCCACACTGTAGGGATTTGAACATTCCAGGAGCGTTAGCCATTGACGTTATCCCCCAACAGAATAGAGCCTATTTGACACTGATATCACCACGGTGACCTGCCCATGAGGGAGATAAAGCAAATCAGTGCTGCAAATGGATGTCCTCTTCCAATGCAAACACTTGCCGTTTCTGTTGTTTCAAAGGCACAATGAAAGTTTTAACCAACCGGCCTGAAAAGTGGCAGATTAAATTCAGTGTCGGGAAATGTGAGGCTATTCACATTGGATCAGAGACAAAAGATCAGAATATTTGTGAATGAAGAGAGCCTACAGCTGGGTGAGGAGGAAACAGATTTAGGGGTGTGTGTGCATGGCACCTAAAGTTAGTGGGTAAGGAACACAAAGGGATTAGGAAATGCCCATGGAATGCTGGAAAGCTTTGTTGAATGAATGAGTTATTGTTACTTGTATTTAACAAACAAATAGAGCGAAAATCATAGAATGCTTACAGTGTGGAAGCAGGCCATTCAGCCCATCGAGTCCACACTGACCCTCGGAAGAGCAACCAACCCAGGCCCACTCCCCCTACCCTATCCCTGCATTTCTCATAGCTAATCCACCTAGCCTGCACATCCCTGAACACTTTGGGCAATTTAGCATGGCCAATCCACCTAAACCTGCACATCTTTGGACTATGGGAGGAAACCAGAGCAAATCCACGCAGACGCAAGGAGAATGTGCAAACTCCACACAGGCAGTGACCTGAGGGTGGAATTGAACCCAGGGCTCTGGTGCTGTGAGGCAGCAGTGCTAACCACTGAGCCACCATGCCACCCCAAAGGATAATATGTTGCCATGCTCTGGTGCCATTTTGAATTACAGTAGATATTGAAAGATTGAACTGAAACCAGAGTTCATCTTCCTCCCATCTTGTACTCCATTCATCATTGGGGTGTGGTGGTGTCTCCACAATGGGCTCTGGGCCCACAATGGCCCCGTATCACAGTCAATTCCAGGAGTTCTGCTCCAGGCCTCTGCTGCCAGGAGCACCACACCGATCCTACCGCTGCTCCTGCCAATGCCAGGAGGACCAATTTGGGTCTACCGCATTGCCACAGCTGAAGCCCAATATCTCCGATTCCCATGCTGACGATAGACGCCATTTTCACTGCCAATGAAGAAACAAAAAGAAGACGTAAAGGAGAGAGGGAAGGAAAGAAAAGGTTGGTTTCAGTTAGCCTGGTGCTCAGCTCAAGAGCTCGAACGCTACTTACCCTGTCTTTGCCGTGCTGCTCTACTGGGGTGGAGAGTGCAGCGGGTAGTGTTCCTGCCTTTAAGCTAGAGGCCCTGGGTTCAAGTCCCACTCCAGGACATGATGGATGATGAAGGAATGGCCAAACTGTGGGTCAATTTCTAAATCCTTCTCGCACATGTCAATGCTAGGTGGTAAGAATGGGAGAGATTCCTGGTCAGCCATGTCAGCCTCCACCATCACTAGCTCCTGGCTCCAACAGGCAGGCAAAAGTATATATGGTTATAATTGTGTTCCCTTGAGTGCAAGTGATTTAGTCAGGGTATTGAAAGTATTTCAAAGACTTGCCAATGGCAGTTTAGATACAAGAATTGAACAAATAGGAAGGACAGACTACTCATAACTGATGAAAAGGCTTACTAGCATCAAATCTCAATGAGAGGATGGGTCGTGCTAATGACAGTCTTTCTGTTCTCAACCTTCTTAAGTTATTCAAGCTGTTAAACCAAAGCTAACAGGGATCCATTTGAACTTTTTTCCTTTGTGCGAGGCAACGTTTCCCTCCCATCTGCTGCTTATCTATTTTATTTCTGGATGACTAGTGAGTGTCTTTGCCAACTGCTCATTGAATCATGCCTTCCATTCTAACATTTGTGACTAAGGGACAAATACACAGGATAAGCACATTAAGAGCTGTGCTTGAAGGAGTTACGCAAACTCAAAAATGCTCTTCTTAAGAATAATGGACAATTGTATGCTTCGTATCTCTGAAATTTTATTCCTAAGATACCTCAAACACAGTATTTAGAATCATAGATTTATACAGCACGGAAATATACCCTTCAGTTCAACTCATCCACGCTGACCAGATATCCTAAATTAATCTCGTCCCGTTTGCCAGCATTTGGCCTATATTCCTCTAAACCCTTCCTATTCATATCCCCAATCAGATGCCTTTTAAATGTTGTAGTTGTACCAGCCTCCACCACTTCCTCTGGCAGCTCGTTCCATACACACACCACTCTTTGTGTGAAAAAGTTGCCCCTCAGGTCCCTTTTAAATCTTTCCCCTCTCACCTTAAACCGATGCCCTCTAGGTTTGGACTCCTCTATCCTGGGAAAAAGACCTTTGCTATTTGCCTTATCTCTGCCCCTCATGATTTTATAAACCTCTATAAGGTCACCCCTCAGCCTCTGATGCTTCAGGGAGAATTCCTTTTCAAATTGCTATTTATAGCTTTTTCTAAAAGGCTTTCAGAACTACTGTTCCTTGTAACTATTTCAGTTAAATATAAATGCTCTTCACCTTGAGATGGAAACATTCTTACTGACTTCTCATGTTTGACCCCTGACCAATCAAGCTATTTCTAAGTTTCCTGTTCATTTTCTTTATGTCTTGACCACACTCTCTAGGTAACAGTAAAGAACAGTCAGGCTCATTAATAACAGTGTGGATGAACACAGCAGGCCAGGCAGCGTCAGAGGAGCAGGAAAACTGACGTTTCGGGTTGGGACCCTTCTTCAGAAATGGGGGAGGGGGAAGGGGGCTCTGAAATAAATAGAGAGGAGGGGTGGGGCTGGGGAAGGTGATAGGTGAGTGCAGGTAGGTAGTGGTAAGGATTGGTCAGTGAGGTGGGAGGAGCAGATAGGTAGGGAGGGAACATACTGGAGTACCTGGAGGAAACTCACACAGACAAGGGGACAATGTGCAAACCCCACACAGACAGATGCCTGAGGGTGGAATTGAACCCAGGTCCCTGGCACTGTGTGGCAGCAGTGCTAAC